GAATTACTTTGTGCGGTTCATAAACAGTCACACCTCACTCTCAGGGAGAGATGGGTTATCATTAATGTCCACAGAGTCCTTGTCCTCCAGCCTGGTGGCAAATGTCCCACTAAGGGAATGAACATTTCACTGTGAGTGAATAATGGAACTTGTCAAGCTGGATTTCTGATCCAAATTGTAGGAAAAACTTATGAGTCACAGCGAGCCAGGATGTTGTTCAGTTGTTTCCTGACTGAGCTAGTAGATGGCAGTGTAGACAGAAAACACACCAGAAAGGCTGGTGGTGCGTTCATCTGAAAACACACACTAAAATCTGTGAATGATGTGATCTCACTGCTCACTGTTGTCCCTCTGTTGACTCTTAAACTTTTTCTCAGATCGTTTTCTAGGAGCTCGGTCTTACTCAATAACACTTCAACAGGAGGGAGATTGAGATAAATAATGCCAGAGGCCTGTGAGCTTGAGGGTCTTGCGCGGTATCTTCTCCTCAGTATCCGTTCCTAAGACTGCTCTTGTGGACAGAGAGCTCAGATGTTGGTCCTGGGATTTGCTGGATCCACTCAGCCAGTTTAGGGTCAATGCCCCAAGTGCTCCAATTACCACAGGGGACCACTGTTCCCTTTACTCTCAGTGTCTTCTCGAGCTCCTCTCTCAGCGCTCAGTATTTCTCAAGCTTCTCATGTTCCTTTTTCCCCCATGTTGCTATCAGTTGGTATAGGTACATCTATCGCTACGGCCATCTTCCTCTGCTTGTCTACCACAACTATGTCTAGTTGGTTAGCCATCACCAGCTTGTCCATCTGTGTCTACCACCCTAGGGGGCGTTTCCCGTTTCCAACTTTGAGGTTCCAGGCCATACTCGGCACAGATGTTCGCCACCTTCTTTCTGCTTAGCATAAAGTCTCAGGGTGCTGGATTTAGGGTGAAACCCTCCATGCATGGTGAGGAGTTTTCTTGTCTTGATGTAAGTCGCTTCTATCTCCTCCTTTGGTCAGCTTGTTATCCCAGAAGGGCATCTGATGACCAGGAGTAGGGATGTGCGATACCACTGATTTCCTTTCCGATCCGATACCAAGTAAAATTCAGGGTGGTATCAACAATACTGATCCGATATCGATGCTTTGTACAAAAACTTAATGTTTATCATTGTATTTCATAATACAATATATAATTGTATTATGTAATTGTAATAATAATATAAAGCTATAGCTTCATAATGATTACAGGACATCAGACTACTTGTTCTTATTGCTTAATAATGCAGAATTATCATATAGAAATTAAAAAAAACTTGAAGTTGTGCGCTATTTGAACACCTTGCCTGCCTGCAGCACTAAAGGACTCCGCAAGAGACGTCTATCTCGCCCTAGCAGCACCTGTCCTTCTCCTCCTCTTAGGTTCGCCTCAACATAAGCTCATAATATTCTGTGATATGATTTACTCTGAGGTGTTTGACGAGGTTAGTGGTGTTGCCACAACACCTCACTGTCTTGCCGCATGTATCGCAAACCGCGTCTTGGCTGTTTGTGGAGGTAAAACACATCCACACACGTTCAGATTACGCTCAGCCATTGTTGTGAGTGCGCACGCCAGGGGCTGCAACATATTTCTACTTTGCATATGACTATGAAAGGCATAAGAGGAAGTAGTTCCTTCCTATTTAGACGATCCGAATGATATAGTTTAGTCTACTGTGTTCCTGTTAACGATAAACTACAAATTTACCCCAAAGTACTAAAATATTGATATTTTAATATGAGAAACGATTCTATAACATAAATTACTGGTATCGGAAGAATCGATATTTCAGTATCGATCCGCACACCACTACTGGTTAGCCTCGTCAGAGAAGTCTGGATTTCAATATGGCAATGCCCTCGAAAACGGTTGTTTTGTTAGCCCTCTACAAAAACAAATTACTACTAAACACAACTGCAGCCATAGCTGAACTCAGTGGGCCGATGGTGATTTTTTGTTTTTATGGGCGGATGTTTTTTTTCCCCGTAACAGTGCAGGGACACCGGCCCTCATGGACTGGGATTGGGGATCCCTGGTTTGGGATGACCTATTCCAGGGGTGGGAAACTCCAGGCCTCGAGGGCCGGTGTCCTGCATGTTTTAGATTTGTCCTTGATCCATCACAGCTGATTTGGATTGCTAAATTACCTCCCCAACATTTCATGAAGTTCTCCAGAAGCCCGGTAATGAACTAATCATGTGATTCAGGTGTGTTGACCCAGGGTGTTATCTAAAACCTGCAGGACATTGGCTCTTGAGGCCTGGAGTTTGCCACCCCTGACCTCTTCATTCACAAATATTTGCAGAGACAGTCTGCACGTCTAGATGCTTTCTTTTATAAATCTGGATTACGAGGTATAGCCCAACAGTTCTCACTTGACATTATAACACTATAAACTTGGTTTAAGGGGTAAAGGGCTCAGAAACATTTCTTGGAATTGCATGTGTACAGTCAGGTCCATAAATATTGGGACATCGACACAATTCTAACATTTTTGGCTCTATACACCACCACAATGGATTCCAAATGAAACGAACAAGATGTGCTTTAACTGTAGACTGTCAGCTTTTATTTGAGGGTATTTACATCCAAATCAGGTGAACGGTGTAGAAATTACAACAGTTTGCATATGCGCCTCCAACTTGTTAAGGGACCAAAAGTAATGGGACAGAATAAAAACCATAAATCAAACTTTCACTTTTTAATACTTGGTTGCAAATCCTTTGCAGTCAATTACAGCCTGAAGTTTGGAACACATGGACATCACCAGATGCTGGGTTTCATCCCCGGTGATGCTCTGCCAGGCCTCTACTGCAACCGTCTTCAGTTCCTGCTTGTTCTTGGGGCATTTTCCCTTCAGTTTTGTCTTCAGCAAGTGAAATGCTTGCTCAATCAGATTCAGGTCAGGTGATTGACTTGGCCATTGCAAAACAGTCCACTTCTTTCCCTCCAAAACCTCTTTGGTTGCTTTTGCAGTATGCTTTGGGTCACTGTCCATCTGCACTGTGAAGCGCTGTCCAATGAGTTTTGAAGCATTTGGTTGAATATGAGCAGATAATATTGCCCGAAACACTTCAGAATTCATCGTGCTGCTTTTGTCAGCAGTCACATCGTCAATAAATACAAGAGAACCAGTTCCACTGGCAGCCATACATGCCCACGCCATGACACTTTCACCACAATGCTTCACTTCAGAGACTGCAGCGTGTTGTGCGCTCTGCTGAGAAGGTGATTGGCTGCAGACTCCCATCTCTGCAGGACCTGTACACCTCCAGGACACTGGGGCGTGCAGCTCGGATCTCAGCTGACCCTTCTCACCCTGGACACAGTCTGTTTGACCTGCTCCCCTCAGGCAGGAGGCTCCGGTCCATTCGCACCAGAACCTCTCGCCATAAGAACAGTTTCTTCCCCTCTGCTGTTGGACTCATGAACAATAACTGTATGACTGTTCCCACCACTAACACATGACCCTACGCTGTGTTCACTGCATCATTCCATGTTTGGCACTGATCACCACCTGCACTCATGTATATATCTATCTACTTAGCACTTTTAATTCTTATTCTTATTTTTATTTTCATGTCTATTTAAGCGTAATTTATGACAGTATGTTTGCACTGAAGCACCGCAGCAATTTCCTAATGTTGTAAACCTGCTCAACATTTGGCAATAAAACCCTTTCTGATTCTGATGAGGTGGTATGCTTAGGATCATGAGCAGTTCCTTCCTTCTCCATACCCTTCTCTTCCCATCACTGTGGTACAAGTTGATCTTAGTCTCATCGGTCCATAGGATGTTGTTCCAGAACTGTGAAGGCTTTTTTTAGATGTTGTTTGGCAAACTAATCTGGCCTTCCTGTTTTGAATAGAATAGAATAGAATGCCTTTATTGTCACTATACAGTTGTACAATGCATCTCCTACTCAGTGTAAACATGCTGGGGGGGTACAGTTCTGCAGCGCTAAGTACATATGGACAGTATTAACATAGGGAAAAACATATATATAAAATGTACAATATACAAGCCGTAAGTAATATGTAATAAATAGTGTTATGTGTATATACAGTTGAGTTGGAAGGCCAGATTATGGTTTACATCTTGTGGTGAACCTTCTGTATTCACACTGGTGAAGTCTTCTCTTGATTGTTGACTTTAACACACATACACCTACCTCCTGGAGTGTGTTCTTGATCTGGCCAACTGTTGTGAAGGGTGTTCTCTTCACCGGGAAAAGGATTCTTCGGTCATCCACCGCAGTTGTTTTCCGTGGTCTTCTGGGTCCTTTGGTGTTGCTGAGCTCACTGGTGCGTTCCTTCTTTTTAAGATGTTCCAAACAGTTGTTTTGGCCACGCCTGTTTTTGCTATCTCTTGATGGGTTTTTTTTTAGCCAAATGATGGCTTGCTTCACTGATAGTGACAGCTCTTTGGATCTCATCTTGGCGGTTGACAGCAACATGGAACAGCTGAGAAGCCAATTGTCCCATTACTTTTGGTCCCTTAACAAGTTGGAGGCAGATATGCAAACTGTTGTAATTCCTATACTGTTCACCTGATTTGGATGCAAATACCCTCAAATAAAGCTGACAGTCTACAGTTAAAGCACATCTTGTTCGTTTCATTTGGAATCCATTGTGGTGGTGTATAGAGCCAAAAATGTTAGAATTGTGTCGATGTCCCAATATTTATGGACCTGACTGTATATTAGTTTGTATGTTCATTATCCTGGTGTCTTTGAAAGCTTGGCCAATAAGGGAAATTTTGATTGGCCAACAGAGTTTTTAGCCATGAGAGTAGATGATTCCTAAAATATGGTTGTTACTGCAGAGAGGCAAAAATCCTTAAAAAATGCAAGGTGGATAGACCTACCAGGCAGGACAGAAGACTGCAAAGCGCTTTTGCAGGGTACCACCTCTAGGTTCAGATGTCACAGTCAGCTTTAGTAAATCAGTACAACAAACCACGACACAAAGCATGTTTTCATAGATTTTTTTTCTCGACTTTTATATTTTTAAAAACGAACCAAAAAATAACAGATTAAATAAAATTTACAGTAGACATATGCAATCATTGTGCACTTTTACTACTTCTTCTGATACGTTCTGCACAGCTGTCAACGAAAAAAAAAAACGCAAACACAATGGGGCGTCGGGTGGGTGGAGCTGGGGCATGTGGGGCGGCTGTGGGAGAGAGGAGAGGGGCAGAAGAAGTGAGGTAGAGGGCAGTAAGGAAAAAAAAGATGGGAAGAGGAGCGGGGATGAAGAGGGAAGGAGTAAAGGGATAAATAGGAAGGCCTAACCTTTGTCACTCAGGGGGGGAGGGAAGAAAAAAAAATTCACCGAATATATAGATTTCTTTTATTCCTTACATCACTTATATAAATATATTGAACCCCAAAAAACAAACAAAGAAAAACTTCTGAGAAAAAAAGAAAAAAGAAAACAGCGCAATACAGAAACCCACAACAGCAGTAAGGCAAACAAAGCAAGAGAGGAGAGAGCAGTGACAGAATACATGAGAGGGACAGAGGAGCAGAGAAAGATAGGAGGCAGTTTGAGACATGGCAAGAGGGGGGAGCAGCAGGAGAAAGCGGAGCGTACGCAACTGTGCCGTATGAAAATTTATAAATATGTGAGATAAAGAGACGACTGTGTGACAGAAAGTCGAGGAAGGTGAGAAAGCGCTGGCAGAAAAAAAGGAGGAAGGGTCAAGGGGGGGGAGGGAGGAAGAGGAGGAAAAGGTTTGACTGAGGTCGACTGTCCAGTGTGTTTTTGTTATGTGCTACGTGACCCTGTTGCCTGCACTTGTGTTTCTGTTATGTGTGTTTTTGTATCATGGCAGCACACATTCCACGGCAACAGTGAAACACATGCTCGCGTGTCTTGTGTGCTCTTCTGCGATATAAATACAAAACAAAAACAATGAATAAAAACAAACAACAAAATCATATTTGCAACCAAACACCAGCCACCTCATGATTCACACCCTCTTCCCTTTTATACATTTGACACATGATTTAAATCAAGTTTTTTTTGTTTTTTGTTTTTTTTATTTGTACACTAAGAGCAGTCCCCCTCAGTCCTCCTCCCTTTTCCACCACTCCAACAAGTGTCTCTCTTTCTGTCTGTCTTTCACCTTCGTTCCTCCCCCTCTCTTTTCCTCTCACTGAGAACTGGCTCTCTCCAGCACGCGCAGGTCATAGTTCTTTTTGGCGGCCCTCAGTTTGAAGAGGCTGGCCCCACTGTTGTTAAGTTTGAAGGAAGCACTCTGGGCAGCCATGGTGTTGGGGAACACTGCCACTACTGTGTAGAGGTGAGCTGGGTCGTTTCCGTCACCCTTCGGTCCCCCAGCTCCCATGCTAGCTCCGGGGCCTGCTGTTGCTCCTGGCCCTGAAGGCCCAGCACCAGGACAGGGGCCGCAGCCCCCTGCTCCTGTTCGGCCTCCTTGGGGCTCCTTCAGCCACTGGATCTTGGCACCGCACAGCGACAGCTGGTTGAAGAGCTTTTCAGCCTCTGGACGTGTGATCCCCTCCGGCAGGTCTGTCACCTCGAGTACTCGACTCACCACTGAACGAGGAGGGACAATGATAATACTAATGAACTCCATATAATGTGAGCAAACCAAAAAGAGAAAAGCACAGGAATATAGGCTACCAAAAATAATAAAGTCACACATACACAGTCTTTGCTTTCACCTAAGTAACAAGCTTTTATAATCCTCACGTCCTCAGACAAGAAAAGAAGATACGCAACTTTCTCATGCGTGTCTTATACGTGCCACAAATTCTTGGGTTTTATAAAGATAAAGAAGAATAAAGTAAACTGCAGATTCCAGTCGAGTTAGGAAGCTGTGTTGTTACAAAAACAACATACCGAATGTTGAAACTCAGGGTTCTTTTAAGTTGTGTAACTCTTTAAAAACATACCAGCACAAAATTAAAGGACACTTGCCGATTTATGCTGGTCTGTGATGGTGGATTTCTAACTTACCTACATCAGTGGTACCAAGATCTGTTGATGCAGATTTGAGTGTTTGTTTTTTCCCTCGTGCTCCGTGTTTCATTACTCCTTGGCCCTAAACACATCAGATAACACTCATAAAGATGCAGTAACAAAGGAGGACACTAGGTGGGGGTATGTGATATCAGTTGTACCCTTAAAAACATTTCACCAGACTGCACAGTTCGTGACACTGGAAGGTCAGCAGCAGAGAAACAAAATGACAGCTCACGGATTTCAAATTTTTTGAAACACTGCGCTTTAGCTACACAACGTGCCCTAAAAAGAGCTTTAATCCTTCAAAGGCCACATTTTATGACTGTAACGCACAGAAGTTGTGTGATTCTCAATTCTGGAGCACTTTAATCACAGAGCCCAGACAGATAATCAATGGGTCTCAATCAGCAATGAATTCAAATCAGATGTTACATTGCTTTATAACAGCTTCTCCTTGTGTTATAGTAACAAAAATGTCATTCTTAAGAAGCTATCAGTTTCTTCACATGCCTTCAGATTTATTGTTTCTTCAAAAACAGTTCTCTAGCTGGTGGTAAGTTTTTACACCCCAGAATTCATGACAGCACCCAAACGAAAAACAAATGTCCACAAACTAAAGCAATAAGTTTAAACCAGAGAAACTGATTAATGCACACTGACAAACTAAAAGGCTCTTACTAGAAAACATCAATATCAGTCAATACCCTAATCATTATGATGGAATTCAGGACAAAGGCTTGTCAATACTAACCTGATGAGAGCTGTAGGAGGACTGACCGTGCATGAGGTGTGGGGGACACAGACTATACTGGAGGGGCTGCCCCAAAAGAGAGTAGCGACCATCACCTGCACAATTCAAATGGTGAATTAAAATTAAAACCTCACCCGAAGCTTGAAAACCGTGCTGTAATCCATTTTGCAAATATATGCAGCACCTGTCAAGTTAAAGTGAGTAATATTAAACATATCAGATGTATGTACTAAATGCAGCGTTTAAAGGAAGACCATGTTTGTGTGTCTGGGAGTGCAGTGCACAATAAAAGAGGTCCGATGACATGTGAGTACATCATTTCAAAACTAATTACAAGAAACAGAAACCACTTCTTATTTGTAACCAGATGAACATAAGTGTAATCTAAATGGATAAGCATTAATGATTTTCACTAGTTTTGAAAACCTAACAGTGTGGCTGGAAAAATACATGTGGCATAATGTTAGACCACTGGATAAGACAAATGATCCCTTAGAAAGAGAACAACTCCTAATGAAGAAGGAACAGTTCAAGATTGGAAATCCATACAACATACTCTAAATACACTAACACTCAACAGTCAAAATGGATACGTATAATGTATACTGGTAAATTAAATTGGCAAATTACTCCAATAAAGATTTGGAAGAAGTTAAAACAAAAAAATATGGAAACCACCTAAAGTCATCTATGGGTCAGCTGACTACTACAGTATTTATTATACATTATAAATGCCATAAAGATGCACTGTGGAGATGTAGTATCGCAGACTGATGCAAGAGCCTGTTCGTATGTGTAACCGTACATTTCGAAGAATAAAAATAGGCCAAAGGACAGTGATGAGGTAAAGTTACGTGTGTATGCAGAAGGTTTGACCAGGTGGCACGATGCCAGTCATGTGAATTTGCTGAGGTGAAGCCATCATTTGTTCACTGGCTTGCAGCCAAAAGCCACCCGACATGGTTTAGAGGGTTGCTGACGCAACTGGTGAAAGAGCACAAACCTAACAAGGGCTGAAAGCACACCTGCATCAAGAGGATTGCTTTTTGTGCACTAAACCTCTTTTCAACCAACCAAGCTGGGTGAATACAATTGTTATTTATTTATTTATTTGTTTTAAATCAAAGTTGCACTCATAATATTTTAACCAGGGGGTCCCAAACTTTTGGGGAGCAAGAAATTATTACAGGAAAGAGCAATTTTGTCAAAGACAACTTACAGAGTAATCGTAATGATTTAGCCCATTTGCTTTTTTTGGTTATAGACTCCATGCTCGCCACCTAAATGGCTAATAAGCAAAGCCGCAAATGAACATGAACAGTCTATTACACCCTTGTTGCAGTAGGTGATTTCCTAACAGATTGAGCTGATGTGTCACAATCATTTTAGAGTTTGTACAGGCTAAAAGATAAGATGTTGGGTAGTACATGATAAGATGTTACAGAGTAAAGGGCGAAATAAGGTTTTTTTTTTTTTGTAAATTGGCTGTAAAGGTGCCATCTTTATAGATAAAGCACAATTTTATGACCTCACAAGAGATTCTTTTTGGGATCCCTTCTATAAATAACTCACCTGGGGGCGAAACCTTAAATGTATAAAACAACATTTCATCAATGCTGCTGTAAATGGTAGCACCAATAAAGCTAACATGGCAAAATATATATACTACTGCTGACTAGTCCAGACTTTTATGGATGCATAAAGCTGCTGAGAAGAATATGAAAGGGTAACATAGCACACAAATCAAAGCCTTAAGTGTACTTTATGTGATTGTGAGTCTAGGGGCTATACTGGGATGATATTCAATTGGAGACCTGCAATATTTTTTACATTGTGTATGAAAACTTACTCATGAACAGTCAGTATCTGTTTATGGATTTGAACCTTCACTTGTACCTTGAGCTGGCCCTCCTGGCCGGGGAAACTGGGAAATGAGGGGTAATGGTCCCAGGCCTGGACAGACACTGTTGACGCTGCCAGAAGGTGACGGGGTGGGAGACTGAGTGGGGGAGGCCAGGGGACTCGTCAGCTGAGTACTGGCCTATACACACAGAGCAAAAATAAGAGACATTATAATATTATTTTGATTAATTGATGGTAATTTAAGTTCAAAATCTTTACTCATTCATCAGATTCAAAGAGCCTCCTGATCTAAACAGCCTTTAAAGCGAATCACAGATCACAGCTAGGGTGTGGAGATGTTAATGAAAAGACAATTAAGTACACACACGGACATGTGAGTTGCAGATTGAATTAACAAGGTTTGTTGCATTGATCAACAAGGCTTGCATGCACGTGTGTACCTGTGGAGTGTTGTCAGGTTTGTAGAGCTCGCCTGGCTTGCTTGCCCTTTGCTCTATGCTGTAGTACTTGCAAGGGTTCCACTGGACAAGAGGGGGGTTCTGGGAAGGCTGGGGTCCATTGGGGACACTGAGCTGCATGACCATCACCCCAGGCCCAGGAGGTGGTACTCCTGAGAGAGCACAAACAGTCAGACACGTGTAACATAATAATATCAATATGTGTAGTGAAATACGTTTCATATCTTTTGAAAGATAAATATTTGATTCAGCAAAAAAGGCAGCTTTACACAAGTTAATTAAAATACCAGTTTCCCTTTAAGAGTGACAACTGAGCAATTCCAAGACTTTAAACCACTTTAGTAAGCCACATATATTATATATTAAATTATAGTGCAGACAACTATTAATCTAAGTAATCTGTGTTCATCCATGAGTGAGAGCTGCTTTAAAAACAGATAATGAACAATATAATATTAAGGCATTTATTATAACATGACAACCATATTAAGAGGACTTATAACCATTAAAAATATAGTTGTATAATTAAGATGTCTTTATATCTGTGTACACCTGCATTAGATCAGCTGTTTGCATAGTTTTGATAAATACCAACCAAGCTGACTTATTTTTAAATTAATTTTCTCATTATTTTCTCCCCTCTGTTTACGCAACAACTTTCAATTTGGTGGTTTTATGAACCACCACAAGAAAGAGAAGCATGTTTACGGGTTAAAATCAGATAAAATTATTAATTGTCACAAATGAAGCAAAACTGCAGAAAACATTGAAGAACAATGTCACGTTTATAGATACATCTCATTTCCTGGCCAATCACATTGCTCTATGAATACATAAAAATAAACCTGACCTAATTTGAGGTAAAACATTGTTTGTCCCCGTGTGCAGGGCTTGAAGTACACCGAGTTGCGTGTTAAACATGTGAACCCTGTGTACCTTTGTCTGAACTCTTACCTAAATACCTTTCATCTAATTTTGTAAAGGACAGTTGCAACTAAGATTAGTCAACATAGTGTTTGTAGATTTAAGCACACTATGACTTCATCAGGTCAGCACTAGTATATACTCAAATACAGATGTACCTGGGACTGCTGCAGTCTAGAACAAAAACAGTTTTTAGACTGTTTTCTTTTTAGGAGCCAACACTTTTATAAAGCATATAAGTCCAGTATTAATTATGGATGTCACACAAATTTCTGATGTCCAAAAAATCCTAAACATATTCATCTTTACAATCTGCTGACATCAAGCCTCACCTGAATATTGCTGCTGCAACTGTGGAGGGTTGCAGGGGGATGGTGACTGTGTTATCTGATACTGCTCAGAGCTGGGGGGCTGCAGGTAACCTACTGATGGACTGCAGGATAGACAGACACATAAAAAGATGAACATCATCACCACATTGTGGATGGTTATATTAACCATTTCAAATACTTCAAGGTTATTATTAAATCTCTTGTTGGAATATCATGTCTTCAAGCACCTACCTTGTGCTATTCTGCTGTGTGGGTGTGATAACACTGTAGTAAACAGGCATGGGCCCCTGGACAGACTGGCTGACTGGGACCATGACCTGCTGCTGGTACTGCTGCTGCACCACCTGCTGATTTTCATTACCCACAGGTACCTAGCAAAGTGTCAAAGATCAAGGGGGAAAAAAAGTCCAGCTCAAGAATGTGTACTGATGGGTCTAGGGGTCTTCTGACAAAGATGATTAGATAGATACTCGTGTTAAACCCGTGTTACACTTTGCACGACGTTTGTTATTGTTTAACAAGCACCAGATATTCAGCGCAACTCTTTGCTGCATATTGGTGTGTTTGGAATATCACAGTAGCAACAGATTTTCAGTTGCCTCTGAGCGGCAACCTTATTCAATTCACAATCTAAACCACATAATCAAAACTCCATGTTAGCACATTTTAGTAAAATATCATCGCAACATGGATCATAAATGCAAGCTTTTTGGCTGCCAACACAGGGTTGAGGTGTTCTTCGGTGCCTACACACAACACAAACTACAGTGGCAAAAAGTGAGAGCTTTCTGCAGCTGCACCCCTGACTCTAAATAAACCACTGGCACAAACCTGAGTTAGATCTGATCAGTTCTTTTAACTCTTATCTGTATCAGTACAGCAGAAAAACAGGTCTACTTTCAAAATATTTGCTTAGATTGTTTTGTTAAGCTTGTTGCAGTTTTAGGACTGTAAGCTCCGCATCTGTTTCACAGACATAAAATGATGTTTCAACTGTACACCAGATGGCGCTGTTTTAACATTGAGCCGCATGTGGTTTAGATACTGGAAATGCTTAACTTTTGTTCTCGCCTGGAAAAAAACCTGACAGTTCTGTAATCATCAACTAGTCACATTAACCAAAGAAAGATATGACTGTTGACAAGTATCCTTTATCAACTCCTACAGTTGCATACCTGATATGATGGCATCTGTGGGTACTGAACCATTATACTCTGCATTTGTCCTCCCATTCCTGCTCTCTGTGAATTGAGCAGTCCAGGATTTTGGGGTTGTTGCACACCCATCATGCCCTGGTAACTCGGCTGCTGGCTGGGCATCATGGTCTGAAGACCTGATGACCAAAATAATTTAAAAATAAAAATATTTAAAGTAAAACCACAGTATATTACAGAAGGGAGAAAATGGGATGAAGAGGAGTAGTTGGGTCTTTACCTTTAAATAATTCACAGAACAACAGGACATAAGCGTTAATGTCAAAAAAGAGAACCATAATATATTAGATAAAAGGGGGGAAAAAGGAAAACAATTTACAGAGCACTGACAATCACGTAACTCACAAAAACTGAAATGTACCATCACTTTAAGCTTACATGCTTAAACATAATATAAATTCATTAATTAATTTTCTATGAGTATAAATCTTCACCATCACAAAAATTATATTTCAGACCAGACTGCAGGCATGTTGTAATGTAGGGTCTTTCTGACCTTCATGTTCATGAACTATGTGGCTTTGGCAGACGTCCATTATGATCCAAAGTCCGTTTAGGTTGTCAACACTGTCAGTCACTTACTATACAAACAGCCAGACTTCACAAACCATACAATGCTGGCGCCTGACAACTTTTTCCAGGAACACAAAAGGAAAAATAGCCCTATATTTATCTGATTGTATTGGACTTGGATGAACAAGCAGGCACGGCTGTTTCACTCCAACCTTTCACCTGGTAGATTTAAAAGCAAGTGTGACTGTGGAAAACATTTACAGTTCCAAAATCGAGTGGACTTTATCCCCAATATAATTTCCAGTAAGTACAACTACATGGACAAATAATAATTTTGAACTTAAGTATACAACATCTGTTACAAATACACATTAAAACCCTGTCTTCCAGTTGTCAATAGACTGAAAAATAAAATAAAATAAAAACACATTAATATGCAATAAAAAGTAAATGTGCATCAACATTTGACAAAGGCCTCTTTTTAATGGCCATTTGCTGCAAATGGCAGTATTTATGTCTTTGCATATCAAAATTTTTTTATTTTTTTTATTTTTTTGAATATCATGTTGTCTGATGATGCACAGCACATGAAAATCAACTGACCTGACTGCTGTGCTGGCTGAGGCATGGGTTGTGTGCGTTGGGTTGGGTAAGACACCTGGTGGGACATTGGCTGGGGCACACGGTACTGCTGGCCTGAGCTTGGATACTGACCAGGAGGGTAGTATGAGACTTGTATCTGCGTAGAAATAACAAACCAAAGTTCAGTAATCTGTATTTAATGAACTTTGAAGGGAAGAATAACTGAATCACACTGGTGTAGACAATTTTTAGTGTAGAAGTAATAAACTACCATATTATTTTGCTTCTGCAAACCATCAAATTCTCAAATCACAACAGCAATAAAGACTTTCATAAATACTTTGTCCTTAAATTTCACTAAAGCAAATGTGTTAGGACAGGATTATCAGCATGAAAGCTGGAATATTTGTAGTAATAGTCTTGTATTTAAAGCAGTAAAAAATTTCCCCTCTGTTAAAAATTGCTTATTTAGACCTTTAGCAAATAACATTCATCATTCATTGTTGTACTTCAACTGGATGGTTTTCAAGCAACTCCATCCATCTTCTTCCACTTATCCTTATCAGGGTTTGCAGGCGGCTATCCCAGCTACAAAAAGACAGACTCTCAAGACTCGCATCACAGCTGTGGGCAATTTAGAATCACCAATTAACCAAACAGCACTAACTGCATGTCTTTGGATGTAGAAGGAAGCCAGAGTACCTGGAGAGAACCCGAGCAAACACGTGCTGCATCTTAAGATTATTTTGCAAAATTTTTGTAGGCAGGAAATATGTCGAGGACATTTACAACATAGCAGAAAAGTGAGAGTAAATCAAAACGATGAGCTAAAACAAAAGACAATCAACTCCACTCAAAGGTGTGATTATACTTCTGCGTCCACAGGTTTGCTGGGGTGCAGGTTAATTCTATCTCACCATACAACATTGTGATTCAGCCTGTTGACGACTGTATGGCCACCAATTTTTTATGATCGTGCTGACTAGAGTACACTACACTACACTACAATGCACCAATAACCAGCAATAAATGTCTCTAAAGGTCAAGATTAGAACTTTACAATGAAAGCACACAGAATCAAAGCTATTTTTAAGTGTCAATCAGGATGAATCTGTATAAAGAAAACTGCACAACATGTCAAAACTGAATTAGTTCATTACAAATAGTACGTATATAACTTTTGATAGAATCCGATGAGTGAAAAGCCTGATGAAAAGCCATAAAAACAGAACATTTTGCAAATCTTCCATGATATTTGTGACAGCTTTGGTAACTGACATATCACAAAGTTAATTACTTTGCCTTCGGTGTAGAGTGCTGTTCTAGGTAATGATTTAAATTAGATAACAGATCTATAAAACCTTTTGCAAGTATGAAATATTAATTTATGTTTGCAATTATATTTTAACTACCCGATATGAAAGTCATACACAGGTCTGTTTTATTTATTACATTGTGTTACATTTCATTAATCATGTAATCCTTGGGCATGGTTGCCTCCAGATATCAGCTACATCAATATTCAATCAAAGCTGACAAACTGTGGAAACTGAATTTAAATCTAAAAGGTATGTCTGCTGTTTTTATCTAACCACCTGTGGAGGAATGCATACCTGCTGAGGTGGAGGGGGCTGCATGTAGCCTTGTGGAGGTGGTGCGGCCTGCATGACAGGCTGGGATGGAGGAGGCGGTGGAGGTGGAGGATGGGGGTGTCCAGTGGTGGGCTGGTAACCAGACGGAGGTGGCAAAGGTTGACCCGTAGTAGCCATAATGTAGCCGGTCTGAGGTGGGGGGTGCTGCGGCAGCACTGGAGGAGTAGCCTGATACATCGGGGGAGGCTCGGGGTTCTCACTGGAGCCCTGCCGACTCAGTGTCATCTGTGTGAACTGGGGTGCCAGCTCTTCTCCCTGGGTAGAATGGGAATAATGCCATTAGTTGGTTATGACTTATAGGTGACACTCCTATATCAGTACTGTTTTTTGATTTTGGAGATGGATTTTAGGATATACTAAGTAATTAACAATGATCTCCAACAGCCTAAATGCTTCATTAGCAATGGTCTAAAACGACTCCTATTCTGATTATTAAAGGGTCATTGTGTCATTTTGGAAAACACTTTATTTATTACTTTGAGTATATACATATACAGTTAAACACATCATCATGATTATTATTATTATTATTATTATTAGCAGAATCCAAATACAACATTGCAAACATTCAGAATATATGACAGGAGTATTGACTTTGTTGTATGCTGGAAAATCTAAAATTAGACACTGAAGTTTATACTGGTTTAATCGGTCATTGCTTTACATACAGTCATGTGAAAAAGAAAGTTTTCAAAGGACTCTACACAATTTTGTTAAAAAAAAAAAAAAAAAAAAAAAAACATCTCTCACATCACCTCTGGACGAATTTTCACACACTTGACTTTACAGTTCATTGAAATTTGCAGGTTATTATTTATGCTTAGCTCTCTTAAGGTCCCAACGCGGCATTTTAAATCAGGCAGAACTCATCTCTGACTGGGGCCATTACACCACGTTGCGTCTTTTCCAGTTATTCTGTCATAGATTTGTTGCTGTGCTTGGGATCATTGTCCTGTTGCATGACTGTTGCAACAGGACAATGATCCTAGGGTGTGTGACAGGTTTCAGCCACCTTTTGCTCTCAGATAGATCTGACTCTAGAATACTTTGGAGAGGATTTCATGGTTGAGTGAGTGACTGCAAGGCCCTGGGGCAGAAAACAAGCTGTGCTTGGTTTAGAAAGCTGCTTCAGGTTACAGCTTCTGGTAACGCTTCCCAAAAACTCCTCAGTTGTTCAGTCTTTTTCTAATTGTACTGCATGAACTTTTAAGATTTAACTGCATAGAGTCAAGTGAAAACTCTTTTTCAAATGACTGTTCCAATGTAAACACAACCAAACTCAAACTCTGCTTCTGTGGGCAACCGTGGTTGCACTCATACAGATGCAGTGATTTAAAAGAGAAAAAAAAAGAAACGTAGCCAGGAACAAACTGGACACATCCTTGTCATTTCTTTTGTTACTACAGACACAACATTTACTCACTGAATCCACTTTAGACAGTAACACCAATTTATATGAAAAAGCTATTACTTAAATGTATTTGCAGACACACTCACATCTTGATAGAACCAAGATATGTTTTTTGACTCCCCTGAGTGAATGTAAACAGGACAGTAAATGAGTGCAAGTGTTTTTAGTAGGATATGGCATCAGCTAAAGTGTCAGTCATTAACTGAATGAGTATAACAGAGATGAAGCTATAATACGTGTCAGTACCATTGTGTACTGCTGGGGAGGAGAAACTGGCAGGAGAACCTGGGGGCAGGAAGGGCTGGAGTAGGAGACAGGCTGAGAGGGCTGCAGAGATGCCACCGGCTATACACACCAAAAAAAGGGATGAAATAAAGAGGTAGAGCATAGAGAGAGTGAAGCAAGGCAGTGAAAAGAACACGGCATCAGAAGCAGTGAAAAGAAGGGAAAAACAGAAATGAAGACATAGGAAAAATGAGGGTTAGAACACAAAGGAAAAAGTTGTTAATGAGCAGAGAGGATAGTAATGGAAATCAAGTTTTTTTTTCTAAATATTACACAAACAAATTATGTATAAAAAATTAAGTGTAATTATTACTACTCAGAAAAAAAGGAAGAAAAGGAAATGTGTGCAATCAAAGACTATCAACTGTGAAGTTATTGGAAAAATCAAACCTGTTAAAGGAGGATGGGTTGACATTGATTCTATATATAAGCTGAATATGTTCAATTCACTACACTTGTTTCCATCCATTCCTCCTCAAAGTCTTTGTTTTTTCCCTGATACGTTTGATGAGGGTGTAACAGGATATGCATTAATCCCAAATGTTCTGAAAGGAATGTCCTCAGGCCACTACACCCTGGAAGTGATTGTAGAACAATATGCACACAGTGTCTAACCGTAATAGTTAGAAAACTGTGTTTAAAGTTCTCCCTCGCTCTGGAGAATAAAAATGTGGCATGCAGGCCTAAGTAAAAGGGATGTCGACCATATATTAAACAACTCTGGGTCTAATAATTTTATTTTAATTAAGAGCATGTTTTATCTGTAGCCATTTCAACTTTTTCTTTCACTTTTAAGAAGTAATAAAAGTGTTTGCGAGTAGGACATTGAGAAGGCCAAGTTTCCATTTCAAATTCTTTTTTCACTGATGAGCTGTGTATGACAAGGAGAAATAATGCAGCTTCACTGTCTGCAGGATATTTATACCTGAAATTACACTGCTGCCCTTAATAATCAATTTCAATGAATAAACTGGACTGTCTAAAATTTTTCCATATTTTCCAATTACAGTATGCACATTTAAGTAAGAGTTGTTACACTAACAGTCATGACCACTTAAATACCTCATGTTTTTCTCTTTCTTCTGCTACACCGAAGAAAACAAAAAGAAAAACAGACTCTCAAACAGACGTCCTATATTAAACCACAAATTGAATGTGCCATTGCATCCATTTTTGGTTGGTAGTGGAGATAACTTACCTGAGCAATCATGTGGTTGCTCATAGGGTGCTGCGGCGGTGTGGGCAGCAGGGCAGTCTGAGGTGGAGCCTGGGGCTGTGGCTGCTGTGGCTGTTGAGATGGGCAGGGTAGCAGACTACGGCTGGACTGGGAGGCTGCAGGTGGAGGACATACATCAGGGCTGACTAGGGGAAGGCCTAGTGATTTAGAAGATGACATGATAGATAAAGGACATCATTTTGAAATTTAAATTCTCCAACACTGAAACCCACAAATTATGACTTGATCTTAAAATATTGCATCATCACTGAATAACACCAAATAGTGTTCTGAAGATTTCTGAAAATGATTTGTATATGTGCAAAACCACTAGAGGGCAAAATAAAGTCAACTTTGCATCAAACGTTTGCCACCTTTGTAGTTTAAAAACTCAATTGAAGCTAATTTTAGTAACTTCTGATTCCTGGTTGTTATAAAATACCAGCTCTGCTAAATAAGCTCTCAACATTTTACAAGAACACATTTGGACAGAAATTAATTCTTAATCAGATAAATACCTGTAGCTTTAATATTTTCTTTGCTAATAAAGGGACGGCCTTGAAAGCCCTTAAACCACAGGAGTTTCTGCTGACTTGTTTAACAAGTCACAAACTGCAGGGTCCAAATCATTTGTCAAGTAGCTAGTAGGTACTGGGGGCACACAATTTCCTAAGAAAATACTTTTATTGTTCTGACCAACAGGCTGCCTGTGACTGTGTGGATGATACTTTCCAAAATAAAAACCAACACAAAAACTCAACAAGGGTCAGGATCTTCACAGGCTTTTCCCAAAATAATACAGGAGAAATGAATACACCTTTAGTCTCCACAGAGTAGGGCAGACAAAAACACTTCTACTACACATGAATCTTAAAAGCAAAAACTAGCACAGCAGTCAACACAGACTTAAAATGAAACCGGGGGAGCCCCGTCGGGAGCAGCAAATCAACCAATCCTCGAGTCCTCTGATGACCACTATTAAATTGTTTTCACACATGCACTCCAGCCCTGAACTTTTATAGACACAAGCCGATGGAGACACATTCGGGAAGGCAAATGTCCGACACAGCCGGACCTTAAAAGCTATTTAAGGTCATAGTACAAAATCTGTTATGCCCAACAGAGACCATGTGGAAATAGCTCAGGTAATGTGAATACACACTGCGCAAGTGGGCGTCAAATAGCCTTCATTCTCCACACTTTACCCAGGCAGCACCCTTCTCCTGAACCAAAAATGAGTATTTTCAAAGGTGAGAATTTGTCTGAAGCAGACCATCTCTTGCTGTGCGCTACATATGAAAAGGGCAACTTTTAGAAATGACCAACCATATCATTCTCCAGAGCTTGTTTAAAAAAAATATCTGGCACATTTAGCAATGAAATAAGAAATAAGGCACTATCTATTACCTTAAAATCTCGCTAAGAAGGCCGACCTGAGAGAATTTTATGGGATGTGGAATATAGACATAAGGGAGCTTCTTGAATTCAATTTATGCTACACAGCTAATTCTTAAACTACAATGACGTTCGGTCAGTTCTATCATAATTTTTCATTATGTTTTATACAAAAAACAGCTTACATGACTAGATAATCCATCTCTCCATGTTGTACTACTCATTTAAGGCAAGTAAAATAAAACAAGCTAATAGCATACTACCTAAATGCTTCTTCTCCACTTTTCTCCAAACCTTACCAGAGCGAGAGCCTTTGCAGCTCCCTTGCGAGCCTTTGTTGCTGCCAAGGCTATCCCCCCTGGTAAGGATGGAGATACCAGAGAAGCTGCTGGCCTTAGTGACGGGTGGCCGGAGAGTGCGGTTAGAGCTGTCTGAGTCGGTGCTGCTCCAAGGCCTTGGCTCCAGGCACTTCATGTCACTGTCCGTGCTGCTTTGACGGCTGCTTGATGCCCGACTGGAGCTCTCGCGGTTTCTGAGAAAAGACAGAGTAGGAAGAAAAAAAAAGAAAGATAAGAGATGACATGATGGAAATAAAATGGGAATGAAGTAGTGATGAAGTAGAGGAGGTGTTGTAGCAGGAAGAGTTGAAAGGTGAGTGAGAATGTGCAAATTACAGAAAGCACAGCCAGAAGAGAAAGACAAAAAAGTATAGGGTTAGAATTAGAAGGAGATTTAAAAAAAAAAAAAGAAAAAAAAAAAGAAGAAGAAGAAGAAGAAGAAGAAAAAAGGAAGAAAAGAAAAAAAAGGTGTGCATATAAGAGAGTTCGAAGCAGAGGTGTGTAGGTGGAAGCAGAATAAAGACAGTTAAAGACAGAAAAGGATAGGGGGAGCAGAAACAGAAGAGCAGAGTAAGGTCACCAATAGCGTAGAGTACACACAGTTTAAGAGGTTTTAAAGATGGAGCATTCAACACAGATGTATATTTGCTGGTTAAGTATACCACAATACAAACTCAGGCAACATACCAAATAATAATGTCTCAAATTTAAAAAATACACCCCCCCCCCCCCCCACAC